CTGTCTGGTAAGAACGAACACCTCCAACACTTCAGATGGGGCCTCTTGCCTGCTTTTCTCCAGGAGAAAGAAAGATGGTAGAAGAGAAAATGCATCTGTTGCTCTCAGAGTCAAGGAAATAGTTACATTACTCATCTGTGTCAGCCTTAGCGTTGGGGGCATGGCAAGTGCAAACACCAGGAAATCCATGCCCAGGGCTCTCTCTCCACGCCCTTCCTGCATTTGCTCTCATGTAATCCCAGACCTCACTAAGCTATTCGTTGAACAAATACGAAGCCCTCAGGTTGTGTAAGACCCTGTGGAAGTTGTGGGAGGGGGAGCAGAGCATATGAAGACGGGGAAGATCAGGCACTGCCTTCAAAGGAACCTACAATCTGAAAGGAAGCTACCACCGTACACAAGCCATTTCAGTTCAGTGCAAAAGACGCACAACTTGAACAGCTTTTGGAGTTCAGGAAAAGAGTTCCGTCACAGCAAGGATGCTGCCCAGGAGCTCCATTTCCTGCTAGGAGCTTTTCAGTGACAGGTGCACACAACCGTCTGTGCTGACAACGCCAGCACAGGTGGCCTCGCCTGCAAATATTTGCTTTCCCATTAATCCAATTTGGAGAGGCAAAAGCAAAGACGTAAAGGCTGCTTCTCCATGTCAGATGGAGACCAGAAGACAACTGCAGCTGTACAGACAGGCCTGCCGCCTGAGAACCCCGAGGAGTCATGAAGGCCGTTCGTGGGAATGGAAACATCTACCGTGATGCTGTGAGATTGCAAGCTGAAGAGCTTTTGGCAGTGCAGTTTCCTAACGGGACAGTCTGTCTTTATCCCTCAGCATGAATGCAGTTTATGAAAACCCTACAAATCTGCAGCGTTCAGCTTGCCCTCATATGGAGCGTGTGTTACACCCACTACTCTTTGTAAGACAATCACGTGACAACTGCAGATCACTGCCCACCCCACTCATCACCACACGTTTACAGAGGCTCAGCTTTCACTGGATGGACTACATTGAATAATAATAACAATAATAACAATAATAAACAAGCTTGTTAATTTTACTGTACAATATAGGAGCTTACTGTGAGTAAATTGTACAGTGAATCCTGTATTCTCAATACTGTCAGCTACCAAACTGAAGATAATTTTCTGCAGGAGACCAATACAAGCATGATCACTAGCTCCATAAACTGATTCATTACAGAAATAAGCATTTTCCTGTTTATAACAGGGGTTGGCATACTTTTTCTTAAAGGGCAAGATAGTAAACATGTTCAGCTTGCAGATGTATAGTCTGTTTCAGCTACTCAACTCGGCCATTATGGCCCCAAAACAGCAGCAGGCAATCTGACAAACAGGCAGGGCTGTGCTGCAATAAAGCTTTATTTACAAAAACAAACATCTGGTCTGGGGAACACAGTTTGCTAACCCCTGGTTTAAATAGTTGTTGATCTTCAAAAACTTAGCTTATTTCATATCATATATCATGAATTACATGTAAATTAATTTCTTCCTAATCCTATCTTTTTAAAAGCCCTTTGGAAGTTGTATACCCTCTTTTCTAAGCGATACATTCTTTATTGAGTAATTAATCACTTCTTGAGTTTTTTCTGGTTGAAATATATATTATCTCACATGTGTGCCATGAGGCACACTATTACTTGAACTACCACTACCTGGTGCCTGTGTTTGATTCCCATAAATCTTTTTTTAAATGTGATGTATAATAGCCTGCTTTCCCAGTATATGCAGGTTAATTTGCAGGGCACCTAAACAATGCATTCAGGTTTTGTGTCCTCAGGGCAAAAGCGCTCATTATCTGAAAGCTGTTCGCCACCATGAGGAGCTGGTGTGGAGCGAGGCCCTTCTGGACTGACAGGTCAGGGCCCCGTCTTCGGAGAGGCGTCTGTGTGCGGAAGCCAGGGCTCTCTGGAGAGCAGTGGCGACCCGCTGGTTTGAGGCTGCAGAGCTCAGCACACCAGAAGGCCTCGGGCCAGAGGAACTCAAAGGTCACAACCAACTTGGGGACGCTTCCACTTCTAGGAGCCACTAATGAGTGTTCGCCACCCACTGAGGTCACCCCGGGTGAAAGAATGTTTGTCTTGGATCTCATCCTTGAAAACTGTGTGTCACGCCTTGGAAGAGAAACCGCACCAGGAATTGGTATATGGAGAACACACAGGCCCACTGGAATTTTTAGGGAGATGCTTAATCATCCTTCTCAGACTAAAAAAATAATAATAATAATTAAAGCTAAGATCAAGGCTTTTCGAGGCCTATGCCCATAGATCTCTAGTGATTTTCTTACTGTTTGGTTTCCAGAAGAAATAGAAGACCTTGAGGTCTGTTTACAACCAGAAAGGACCTGCAGGTACTTGAGGAGGCTGACCTTGAGCTGTGAGCTCATGGACATGGGCCTAAGCACACAGAAGATCAGGTCTCTTGTAAACTAAGTGGTCACTATCTACTTCCCTCTGATGACAGCTCAGCAGGTTGCTGGGAACTGGAGGAGGAAAAGTTAAGACCCAATATTTATCTTATAAGGAATCTTCTCTCCCACAATGACATGTGCAAGCAGGGCCGTGTGTAAGGAAGCACAGACACTGGAAATGCCGCAGGTGTTCTCTGGAAAATGTCACTGCCAAGTCCATATTTTAAGACAACTGAACACTCTTGTCTGAATTACCAACAGTATGCATTATCCATGCTTCACTTTGCAAGCTTTGCACTGCCGGTATCCTCTTTACACACTTCCTGGTCTGGTCAGTTAGAGACTCAGGAAAGCTGTTCTCTCTATACCTCCGTTCCTTCCTGTATAAAGCGCATAATTCTATCTGCCTCCTGCTACTTCAGAGACGCGTGGAAGGGGGATAAACAGTATCTGTAGGATGTGGGGCATTATCTGGGGATTAGTGCTGCTTGTGACTCAGGAAGGGCTGCCCCAGTGTGGGTGCAAGAGAGAGCCAACAGAAACACTGCCTCCTTAGAAGGGTCATAGCGTCTGGGCTTACTGACTGCATCCTGTGGAATTGTTTATAAACAGTGGACTGTCAAGAATTCAATGTCAGCCTCAGTGTCAGCGTGGCTCTCTAATGCAGGTCAAAGCTCAAGTTCTCTGCAACAAATACATGCTGCACATTCCCGCGAAGATGCCATCCCTGCACAGACACGCTTCTCTTTTGTGCTTATTTTAGCTGTGTTGTCAGCTAACGAGATCCTTAAGGTTGAAACATCTGATGAAAAAGAATGCTTCAAGCTGAGCGATCCTCTGGCTCTTCTGGAGGCAGCGATGGGTCACAGGCAGGCGTGGGGCAGCTGAAGTACCAACGGGATGCCATAGTGATGACAACAGAGACGTCCTGTGACACGTCCCAAGACCAGACCATGACGCCAGTGCCGTGACCTGAAGCTAAGGTTCGTAGAGGGCTTGTGGGAGAGACTGTATTTTTAGCAATAGGCAAGCGAAGTTTCTCCGCCCGTATCTGGGCCCCTCTCTTTCATAAAGGCCGGCTGAAGGGCATGGAGGTACTCCATGGTAGCTGGAAAATGGTTAAGATATTGGGGGAAACATGGCTTCTATTCTTTTTTGCATATTTTTTGTGTAGGCTACAAGGATGTATAAGATACAACCCCTATTCTTACAGACGACAGCACAGTGTATTAAGAAGGAAGAGAGGGCACACACAACTCTCCATTAGGTTGAGACAAATGACAGTGATACTAAGATGCAAAATAGAGTCAAGACGGGAAATTTCATATTCAATTCTAATACTTGTTGGAATAAAATCAAAGCCATGAGAGGAGAACACAAATAAACACCCCAGGGCCAGACACTATTCTCATTACTTTAAACATATCAACACTTGTCATTTCATAATGACTGTATGAGTTAGGCACTATTAGCATCCCTATTTTACAGATAACAAGCAGAACAGAGCAGAACCCAGGTGCAGAGAGGTTGTGAAGCTCAGGGGAGATCCCACAGCGTGCTGGGAGCATCTGGGACTAACCCGGCTGGCCTGCCCGGGGCTGCGCTCCCCTTGAGCTGTGTGCACTTTCCCCGGGAGCGAGAAAGAAGGGCTGACGACTCTCTTTTGTGCAGGGAGGTGAGTGCTGTGTGATACACCACACAGGAAGGATAATTAGCTAGTATTCTTGCTTATCACAAAGAACATTAACAGATGCCAAATGACTGGCAGGAGTTTCTTCACCACATCCGCCACTCCACAACCTGTAGCTGCACAAGGCTCAATGCTCAGCTCCTCGGACCCCATGATGTGAGGAAGACAATGGTTTGGGGAATCGCTGCAGCTCTGGGGGAGTCTGTAGGGCAATGCATTATGTTTGTGTGCGGGGAGGGTTCCAATGCGGGATGGAGCATGCACCTTCAGCAAAACATTTTTCACGAATTCCTTCTCACTTCCTTCCGGAAAGTAAGCGGAGTGAAAAGTGTGGAATATACCAGCTGGGAAAACCCAGACCTAACTAAACAGCCACCCCTCTCAACCCCTCACGTTAATGAGGGAGGAGACTGACTCCTCAGACACTCTAACTTGCGGGGGTGTTGTACAGTTTGTGTTCTGGCACAATTGACAAGCCCATTAGAGAAATGAAGAAGTAACCTCATAGAGAAGTTGACAGAGACATTCTGACAAAGAATCTTTTAGTTTTCCTGTGCAATTCCAGTCATTCATCCAGTTACTGTATCCCAAATAAAAACAGGGAAAGGACAGTAGCTTGAATTAGCAGGGGTGTGGAACGTCCGGCCCGCGGGCCATATAAAGCCCTTGAAATCATTTGGTCTGGCCCTGCCAAGGCAGTAGGGATGAGTTAATTGAATGTCTGAGCAAATATAGCAGGCTAATTTTTAAGTTGATAATTCTGTATGGCCCGTGAATGATGTTATAAATATCCAAATAACACTTGGCAAAAAAAAGGTTCCCCACCCCTGAATTATAGTAAAGCATAGATAATACTGCTGAAGGAGGAAAAAGGACTACAATTCTTACTTGTCAGTGGGCCAGGATTAACTATTTGTAGACTCTGGGATGCTCTGTTGAGGAAAGCTGGTATGGCTGCAACAGAAAGAGAAGAAAACCATTAGCCATCTCTCCAAAATGGTCTCAGGTGACCCTGTTTCCATCTCACTTTCAAATGACAAAAGGTGAGATGGGCCAACCTCACAATCATCTTTTTCTTTTTTAAAAAAATTAAAATTAGCCCTAACCGGTTTGGCTCAGTGGATGGGGCGTCGGCCTGTGGACTCAAGGGTGCCAGGTTCGATCCGGTCAAGGGCATGTACCTTGGTTGCGGGCACATTCATAGTGGGGAGTGTGCAGGAGGCAGCTGATTGATGTTTCTCTCTCATCAGTGTTTCTAACTCTCTATCCCTCTCCCTTCCTCTCTGTAAAAAAATCAATAAAATGTATTTTTTTAAAAATTAAAATGACACCTGCTTTCTAAGAAGCCCCCATCAGTACCAGAGCAAATGGAAACATTCTGCTCGTAGTCCCCTCTAGACCCACAGGAACAATGAAAGAAATCTTCCTGTATCATCTGAGTCTTGCTTATGGAAAGAAAGCATATCAATTCTTACATTTTTAAAAAAGTTCCTTCAAAAAACCCTTTTCTTAGCCATAAACACGTGAGTGATCCTGGGAGCAGGGAAGGAATGAGGGGAAGCAAAAGTTGGACGAGAGACACTGAACTTTATGATGTGAGATGGGCAGTGAGTCATCTATTATATAAGCAGCTATAATTTTATTGATACTAGTATTAGGTTGCACTCAAAACAGGAAAAATGGAAAATGATCAGGGCGGTTGTCACCGGACTGCTGAACTGGGCTGCTTTGTAAGCATCGCGGCTATAAAGTACGCAACTGCTACCTGGCGAGGAAGGGGGTTCCCCACCCCGATCACGTTATCTGAGGGCGATTCTTAGAGAGGCAATGGGGTCCAGGCCCCCAACGAACACGGAGCTTTAATCACAGCAGGGAAATGACGTGCTTTGGGCCTCAATAGAAACCAACAGTAACAATGCTAAGAAATCTTTCTCTAATACGAAAAAAGGAAGTAGAAGAAAATGAAGATGCGTGGGCAGTGAGCAAACCCACTCCCATTCCCCCCTTGAATTTCAGCGCTGGGAGAACACTGCCCACCTGCCCTGGTCCATGTTTCAACCTGCTTTTTCACACCTCCCCACTGAGCTCAGCAGGCTTGGAGTTCATAATATAGAACCTCACGGATGACATTAAGATCCTTGCTCAGCTGGCATGACTCAGTGGTTGAGCGTTGACCTATGAACCAGGAGGTCGTGGTTAGATTCCTGGTCAGGGCACATGCCTGGGTTGAAGGCTCAATCCCCAATATGGGGTGTGCAGGAGGCAGCTGATCAATGACCCTCTCATCATTGATGTTTCTATCTCTCTTTTCATCTCTGAAATCTATAAAAATATATTTAAATAAAAGATCCTTTTGTTCAACACCATAGCACTCTAAGCCTTGTAGGTTTCTTCAGTCTGGGCACATCAGTGAGAGTACGTTCCCAAGTCACGTTAAGCTTTGTGGGCTTGGGTGAATTAACATTTTAAGTTCTGTAGTACTATCAGTCCTGGAAGTGTTTCTTTTTATTCTCTCTCAATATTTTACTAGTAGCGTCATATGTAGAAGCTCATTTACTCCCAAATGCAATAATGGATTATGACAAAAAGATAATAAACTACCCCCTGCTTTTAACGTGACCAGAAAGGGAAATTATATCTTAGGACAAGTCCACTCACGACTTTGGTACCCCAAGTTTAGTATGACCATCATCTAGAACCCACCCCCACCCCAACTCCTTGCTAACAGTGGAGAACACTTTTATTACCCCTTGGGCACTAGAACATAAAATATTTTTGGTCAAGGTTTGGCAACGGTAGACAACTTGCAACCATGAGTGGCCTGTATCACTGACAACTATGCGCTCCTTGAGAAAGTTCCGACGGCTCAAAGGAAGAGGAAAATTAAGTCAATCGTGGCATGGCACACAAGCCCATGTGTCATTTTGGTCAGAGTTATTCAGCAAGGGTGTCTCAGTTTTCAGCTGGAAACGGAGAAAACGAGCAGACACCAGTTTCCAGGCTCGGATCAGCGGTCCGGCTGACAGATTTCTCCAGAATGGTGCCTGAAATGGAATGTGGGGGTCAGTTATGAGGCCCCGAGGGAGCGCGCAGAGCCAAGCCTCAGGCCTGGAAATGCTTGGGGAGCCGGCCGCTGGGCCCCTCGCGAGCCAGGAGTCTGCTTTCCTTGCAGACAGACATCTGGTGCGCTCCCCTTCTTGGTGTCGGTATTTGGTAACATTTTCATGAAGCAAAAATTCTCACTCAGCTAACACCCTGCACAATATGTGCCGAATAAAAACATAAAAGGAGCAGATGACTCCTGGGGAAGGAGCACAGACCCAGGCCAGCAGCGGGAAGGTACTGGTTACCAAAGTAAAGCATAATAAACACTATTGTGCCATCTTAGCGATGGAGGTGTCGCGCCCAGCTGTCAGTTTTAGTGAGTGTCAACACTGTCCTTAATATCTAGAAAGGCTGGGCAGTGCGGGAGACACTAACCAGGGGTGACAATAAACCGAAGATCCTGACTCCAATCCATTACAGAGGGGCTCTGACATGTGGGTGCTATAAATGAGATGGCTACAGCCCCTGGCCGCCGGGAGCCCAGTTTCTGGGCAGGGAACTTTAAAGGAAGGAGTGGTCCTGGACAAGCTTGAGATAAACAGGCAGTGAAGAGGAAGAGAAAGGGAAGTTGGAGCCCAGGGAAGCACTGCACAAACAGAAGACGTGAGACGGCCTGGGTGTGCGAGGGGCTTTGATCTGTTGCAGGGAGTGGAGTACAGCTGATCTGGGATGTGTGGAGTGGGGAGAAGTCAGGGTAGTGGCGGAGCCATAACAGCGGCAACGACAATGAAAATGACAAGACTCTCTAACATTTACTAAGCACTTACTATTTTGTCTAGCTAGTATTCTGCAGGTGCTAACTGATTAAACCTTACATGTAGACACTGTTACTGTCCCCATATTACAGATAGACACACCAAGGTCCAGATATGTGCCATAGTCAGGAAGTGGAGTACAAGGTTGGACATAACTTCTTTTCATTAAGGACAAGAGCAGAGGTGTCAACACCAGGCGGTGGGCAGTGAGCTGGCCTCTGTGCCACGTGACAGCAGGGGCCCAGCGTCATCACAGCCGTGCTCAGAGGAGCGCCAGAATCGCAGGCTGGCTGAGCTGACATCAATACGAGGTAGGCCAGTCAGGAGCATAGGACTGAGACCAGAAGACCAGAGTACTGGAAGGTCAGGCTGAGGTGTGGGGAGGACAGAAGGGTCTCTCCCTTTATAATGTGGTTTTAGATGTTCTTAATACCTGAGAATTCATTCATTAAAGCAACAGAGCCAGAGTGATTTAACAGTCCAAAGCTCAGATGGTGACTCACAGGTGGTGCGCTGGACCTGGTACCTCTTTCCAATCGTTCAGTGATGTCACGCCATTAACTTGAAATCAGCCATAGTGGGAATATTTACGCCATGATAATTGGCAAATGCTACAAATCAAGGCTCTCCGCCACTGAAGCCTGTGGAAATTCCACCTGCCCTTCAAGATCAGTTTGGGTGTCTTCTCCTCCATGAAGTATTTTTTATATTCTCCCAGTTGAAATCCATCTCTCTATCTTTGTGCTTTCAGAACACTTTTTCTTAATACCTGGACCCGGGCACATAGGATTCCTTGCCTAGTACCTTAGTTATCTGACTTGCCCAATGAATGATAAACTTGAAGTTGGAAGACAAAGACCATGTCTCATTCTACTTTGGATCCACCATAGTATTAGCCCAGTCCCTTAAATATATGCTAAATGAATGCTAAATGCATATTCATAAAATTACTGAGTATCTCACTAGGAAGTCTTTCAGGAAGAGCTATGAGGCATCATGATTTTACTTATATAATTATTTTAAATTTATCATTTTGTGGTCTTTGGAGTCTCAACTTGCACAAAAGAAGATTCTAAAGTGCATCATCAGCTCCATGACAAGTGTTCTCCTGGGACATTGATGCTCAAACTTGAGGCAAAGACAGCATATTTTACCACATTTTCATGGTAGTTGGCCCCTTAAAAGTGTTTGGTGAAGGAAAGAAACAATGAAAATAAGATTGTTTCATTTCCTTACCCACTTCCTGTCACTCAGAAGGATGCATTTGCCTGGATCTGATCACAGCAGAGAGCCACCTTGTTGATTTCAAGGTATACCAACCACCCTTGTCGCCACATACTGGGCTGAGACTGGTAGTAGTGACTTGTAAGTCCTGCGAATTGGTTGCTTTGGCCAATTCATGAGTCTCCGTGCTGAGACCAGGCAGTGTTTCAGAAGCATGGCGTGTCCAATATATGCTAAGAAAGCATACGCTTTGCCAGAGGTTTGGAGGTGTGTTTTCCCCTCCCGGGGCAAAGGCATCTTCTACAAACAGGTTGGTCTAGGCTCCTGCCACTCAGCCTCGCGTTTCTTTCCAAGCTCCACTCATCAGTTCTCATGTAATGTTTCTTGAACAAAATCCTGTTCTCTCAGTCGGTAGGTATCTGAGAGGTAGAGAAAGTGGCCATCAGTCGAAGACGCAATGTGTGAGCAGCTCCGATGTGGCAGACGCTGTCCTAGATGCCAGGAACACAGAGGTGAAGAGAGGCCTTTCTGGGCCCACGTTCTGGGGTGTGTGCGGGCACCGTCAACAGAGAAGCAAACAGGCAGCGCCAGTAGCAGAGTGGAGCAGTAAGATGTGGGTGAGTGGTTACTGTGGCCCTGCATGCAGAAGGGAAAATACAGGCCCAAAGGTGGGCCTGAGGAATAAGCAGGAGGCTAGTGTCGCAGGAGCGGAGCAGGGAAGGGGACAGGCAAAGGAGCTGAGATTGCAGAGGGCCAGGGCCAGGCCTGGCACAGTTCATCAGGCCAGGGATAGGCCCTGTGGAGTGTTTACCACGCCAGCTTCCGTGAAAGGGACCCTATTGAGTTGCAGCTGCTATTGCTGCCAGACCT